CGCTGGGGAGGGAAGGAAACCCATTTTCCAGCTGATTCCACTCAAAACTCCAGGGCCTTCCCCTCGGCAGAACCCCAAACAACGGCGCGCACGAGGAGCTCACCAACAGCTCAGCACGTTCACCAGGATGACGGAAAGCAGCAGCCGGGTCCTTTGGGTTCATCAAAACTCAGCTCAGCCCCCAAACCAGGGCGCCGCTGGTTCTTCATGTCTCGCTGTGGCTAAGAAGACACGTTTTTTTTTTTACTTTTTCTTAAATAATCAGATCTAACACATCTAAATGATTCTAAAAATCTGCCTTCTTCTAGTGAAATGCATCTCTGTTAGTAAAATACACCTAAGAGCTTCTGCTCACCTTAAATACTCACGTGGTGGTTTAAGTTCCACAATCAGGCAGAGAGAGCCAAGCAGCTCCCTCCCCCCTGCACCGAATCCCTGTCCTGCTGCTTTCAGGGCTCATCAAAACACCTTTTTTGGGGTTTTTTTTTTTAAATATGGTCACAAACTCTGTGAGTTTTGCCAACAGCCTTCCACAGCTTCGCCCCAAAAGCAAAACCTTCCAGCTGTGGATTCTCCGCCACGTTTCACAGGTCCCGGTGTTTCGCGGAGGTCACGTCCATCCTCCTCCTCCGAGCGATCCCGAGCGCGGAGCCGGTCGCTGGGGACAGCGCTCGTTCGGGAAAACTCCCAAGGACAGAAACAGGAAACACCTTGAAAGCCAAACGCGCCAGCGTTACCTGGCGGAACATCCTCTGACAAAACAAACCGACCCAGCAAACGCCGCGAGAGTCGACCGTCGGCGCAAACACGCCCGGACTTTGCTGCTCGGCCGCGAAATCACGGAACAGGTGAAGGTTCTCCCCTTTCTCTCAAAATTTCCCCCGTCTCTAGCTCTTCTGCGAGTATTTTTTGTTACTAGTTAAAAAAAAAGAAGTGCTCATACGATAATCAAGAATTCACTGAAATGAAACTTTAGTTTCCCTGCAGGTCAGTGTGTTTTTCTGTAAGAAAAAGGCAGCGTTTAAGTTTTTAGAATATTCTACACGGACCCAGTGGGTGCCCAACCACTCACACCAGGCACCAGCCCCGGCGCTGCTGAGGAGAGGCTGCTCCTACACGGACTCAACGTTCCCCTGACATCAAGAAACACATTTCTGCCACTTTGACTTTTGAGAAAAGATGTGCTATTCAACTAAAAAAAAAAAATAAATAATTAAAATATCCCAAAATTCTGATTTCTGGCAAGTATCTCAAGTTTGTGTTAAAAAACCAAACAAACAAAGCTTTAGTACACATCGGTAACAAAACCAATAAAAACCACTGGGTGGACATATAGAAACCCCCCCTGAGGGTCACTAGATCTCAGTCACTTTGTAACAAGAGAGTTGGAAGGAGCTAGAAATTATACAAACAGCGCGGTGAGCAAAAAGAAAACAGGGTTTGCTCGGTTTGTTTTGAACATTTTGTTGTTTGCAATGCACTAAGGCACCAGGAGGTCACAGTCAGGCAAGTAAAGCTCTTCCACGCAACGTTCCAACTCGACACACTTACCACGAGACGGGAATATCCGAACCGAGCGCGACGGCTTGAGGATAGCACGGAGAGAGAGGAGGAGGAGAAGGAAGGGAGCTGTCGCTTCCTACGGGATGAAGCATCAGGAATCCAGCTTGCGCACGGCCACCGACACGCGCAAAAAAACCCCCAACGCAACCCAACTGGTTTGAGCCTCGGAGTTACGTCCCTTTGAAGACGTGTTTCGTCGTCGCTTCAGAGCTACTTTTAAAAAAGAAAAACATGGCAACTTCCCTCAGCCTCCTAAAAATACCTGGAACATTTCAAAGGCTCCCCGAACCGACGAGATCGTTTGCAAAAGACACGGGGAGGGGACAAAGACGGGGGTTTACAACAGGAAGGAACTGCCAACTCTCTTTAATGGTACATCGCTCTGTCTAGCAGAGAAGTCGGCAAAGCTCAAACCTTGCCGTATCCATCGAGAATTATACAGCATTCTACAACTTGAAAGCACTGTACAAACACCACGGCAAGGCCGCAGCTCTCAGGCGTCGCTCAACACACAAATTGGTCGCGCTTTACCACCAGCTGCACATCCGTTTCCCCCGCGCTGGTTATCTCCCGGATCTTCAAAGGATTCTTCAGTTTCAGCTTCAGATAAGATCCCTTCGAGGCCGGACGCTAACGCGGTGTCTTCCGCCGACGAGCACTTTTTCAACGGCGTCAACTCGGGGAGGAGCCCTCTGGCAATCGCCAGTAAATCACCCGGAAACCCAAGGACGTTTCATCTTCACCAGAGTTGGCATTTTCAACGACGTTCCAGGAAACGTGGAGGTTACTACCATAGCAAAAAAGGGAACTTGTGTTGTTTTTGAGGCAGATAGAAAGTTCTAAACTACTCGGTGTTAAATTCACTTGCTGCATCAGAAACTCGGTGCCTAAGGGACGTTTGCAATTGCAACGTCGGCTGTGTCCTGCTCTTCCTCAGGTTCTGCTTCGCAACGTCAGCAAACTGAGCGCCCCCAGCCCTGAACGTGTGGCCCCTGCCCCGGCCGGGGACACCGCAGAGAAGGGGACAGCAGAAACCCTCAAAGCTTGTGGTGACTGCAGCAACTTGGGAGGAGGCTTATCCAGGATGTCTAGAAAAACGTCCGTGCGATTTCTGGACTCGGTGTTTTAAGATTCGTCGACGAGGAAAAAAACACAGCAATGGACGTGACGATTTAAACTAACACAGTGTGAAGTCAGCTTCTTACGTTAAAGCAGACGAGACGTCACTACTAAGCTACACCTCTCCTGTCCCCTTCAGGTGACAACACTCGTTTCCTTTTAGTCTCTGAACCTCTGAATCCACCCAGACAACTTGCACGTTTCCATGTTGGCTCTTCCCGAAGTCAGCGAAGGGTCACAGGCAACAGGCACTGAACTGTCACAGTCCAAGAGATCGGTCTTCATCAGAGACCACGGAAGCTCACGTTTTGATCAACTCCAAGTCCCAGGCTCCACTCCAGACGTGTCGATATCGCAGGAAAACACAAGGTACCATCAGCGTTCGGAGCCGGCGGCAGAGAACGGAGCTGGGCTGCCGAGCTGCTCCCAGATTTCTCCCACGGGGCGCTGGCCCAGCTCCGCTCGAACACGCCGCCGAGCAAATACTCAGGACAGGCTAAGAGGATCCTTTTACTCCAGCGGAGAAATTGCATGGATCAGTCCGTTCGAGACCAACGGCCGGTTAGAATTTAAGAGCAAAAAGCAACACACCTTTCACTTACGAATTCTCCACGGCCACTGATGCGTGAGGTAACGTACGCTGCCGAACGACCGTGGCCCTCACAGAACAGACCAGAAGAACACGACTGATATATCAAGGTGACAACACGGCTGCTAAGATCAACGTAACCTTAAATGACACCCATGATTTTTTTTTTTTTTTAAGTGCGGTGCCAGTTTCAGAATATTTGAGAAAAAACAAAAAAAACAAAAAAAACCCCCACACCTAAGTGAGGCCCCACACTTATGGCCGGACTGGGCACATCCACAGAGGAGTTAACCACTTGTAAGATGCCAACGGGTACCTGAATCGGAGAGCCGACGTTGCCGAGGGGTTCTGGGAGAACCCACGACTCCTACCCCGGCTCCTGCACTAGACCTGCTCGGGTAGGTTAACAGATTCAACCAAACCTGTGAAAGTGACGGTGTATATTTTTTAGAAAGGAGGAACTAAGGTTAGACTACATTGTTTACTGAATTGTTCCACCACTGCTCCGTAAGTTTTACGGCATAAATAAAAAATGGAGAAGGGGGAGGGGAAAAATAAAAAATAAATACATTGGCTCCTATGAAGTCAGAAGTGGTTTGGGCTGCGTAGTGGAGGGGTGAGAGATGGGGGCGAGGGGTAAAATTTACACACTTTGAGACAAAACGGGAAGCGCCTGCAAAGTTGTAGAGAAGAAATCCGAGAGTTTAAGTGTCCTCGTTCATATCCTGGCTGTCTGTCCGAGCGATTTTCCGTGGCGGCGCCGAGTTCTCACCTTCTATTTCCACTTGCTCTTGATCTCTCTTCTTCGCCGCGTTCTGTTTGGACAAGGAAAGTCACAGTGAAACTCCCCAAAGCCTCAGATTCTAGTGGGAGCTGGTGTCAGTAGAAGCAGTGTTTATCTGCAAAGGTTTTTTTGGGTGCGCTCACCCAACTGACACAGTGGCACAAACACCAAAGAGGATTTGGCCCAAAGCTGAAAGGTGCTCCCCTTCCAGCCTCTTGTGCAAATTTGAGGGTGGGAGCTTTGTGCTCTCCAGCGCTCAGACGTACTGACTGGCGCACTCCTCACGCGAGGGCTTCGGTTTGGCACCCAAGGTACTCACACGGCGCGTTCACGCTCTGCTCAAGCTCATCTGCCTTGCCCTGGCAGGCCTGGGGGTACGAGCAGCTTTCCCCTCACCACGAAGCAGGCACCGAGGCACAGCGAGGCCAATTTGCCAAGGTCACCAAGGGAAGCAGCGCTAAGCGGGAGGTGGAACTGCAGGCTCCCAACTTCTAGACTAAACACTGAGGTTCCCTCCCTTGCATGGAAAGGAGAAACCAAGGTTTTTTTCCTTTTAAAGATGCCTTGTGCAGAGACAGAGCCTCCTTGCACCGTCTTTCTGCTGAAGCGCAGTCCGCACCTTCTTTTTTTCCCCCCTCACTGTCGCTATTTCAATGTGATTAATATTCAGCTTGATTAGTCAAGGCAAAATGAAGAGATCAAAGGGGCAAGACGAAGACAAAATTAAGAAAACAGAACCATACCTTTTTGTCCCACTGCTGATGTAAATAACGCAAAAGTATATTTGTCTTTTCTGTTACTATGACTGCCAAAAAAAAAAAGAGAGAAACATATTGGGGTCGTTTTAAAGCTGACTTTTAGAACGGTGCAGTAATTGCCACGTTACGTCCCGTACTGAGCACGGTCCTTTGTAACGGAAGGACTGGATGCAAGAACACAGATCAGTTAAGAATAAAGGAAAAGCAAAAAAATTCAATAACTGGACACAGGCCGTTGATCACTGCGGTGACACTTCAGTGATATCACTTTACTGAAGTTTAAAATAAGTGGGATTACGTGCACACCGGATTTTTAATAATAGAACAGAATAAAGTTATTTAACCCCCACACTTTAGCAGAGCAGACTTACTTTGTTCAGACGGGTATTCTCTCGTGGGAAGATATACCGAGGGTCTTCTATTCTGTAGAAGAATTAGAACAGTTACAGAACAAAGACAGCGAAAAGGTGATTTTTAACCCAAGCAAACATAAAAAGAACAGATACATAAAGCAAGTGCCTCAGCTGTGGTTTGGCTGATGTGAGGACACATTCATTACGCAGGAAATTTTCCAGTCTCACCTCATACATGTTTTTTAAGGAAAAAAAAAAAAAGACTCATTTTGGGTTTACTTCACTTCAGCATCCTTCCAGTCGTGCAAGAAAACCTTCCCCCAAAGCACAAGGATGTGGTGATACTTACTGATGCTTTACATACAGAATCCGCATGGAATCTGCTGAAGTTGCTTTTGTTGTAGACCGGTAATCCTTTCAAAAAATCTGCCTAAAAAAGACAGAGAATACAAACAAAGAAGGAAGTGAGGAAAGAGAGAGAGAGTCATTCGCTTTGTGCTGGAGTCGCTCCGGAGGCAGGGACTGGAGGATGCTGGTGGCTACTGACACCTGCCCCAAACTGGTTTTGTAAAGTCGGCTTCTGCTTCCCCAAAGTTCACTCATCCGGTCAGAAAGCTGCTAATTAAATCTCTTTCAGCACAAAGGTGATTAAAAAGAGGTACGTGTCCAGCCGGGTGAGCTCTGACAGAAGCACCACACCAACGGACCACAGCTCACGGGAATTCCCAGCGCAAATCACGAGAAACTCTGCCAGCGCTGCATCGACGTCCCTCGACACCACCCCACAGCAAACCAGT